GTCCATTCTGACCCACAGCACCCCTAGAGGACAGCGTGGAACTGCCCACAGGGTCTCCCAGGCTGTCAGTCTTCAGGGAAGCAAAGCCCAAACCACACCCACTGCCCTGGAGTCCATTCTGACTCACAGCGCCCCTAGAGGACAGAGTGGAGCTCCCCACAGGGTCCCCAAGGCTGTCAATCTTCACAGAAGCAAAGCCCATACCACACTCACTGCCTGGAGTCCATTCTGACCCACAGCGCCCCTAGAGGACAGAGTGGAACTGCCCACAGGGTCATCTTTACACAGTCAGCTTGGATTGTCAGGTCTTCTCTTGCGAGGAGCCCCTGGTGAGTTCTGACCACACCCTTTCAGGTGGCAGCTGAGTGTTTAACCAATGTGCCACCAGGGCTCCTTGGCAGGGTGTGGTCTCGGTAGTCTGTGAAGGAACTCTGACAGACTCACAGTTAAATCTGTGTTTCTCAAACCAGAGAAGGAAAGGAATGGCTTTTTAAGTTTCCAGTCTCTGGCAGGCTGAGACTCTTAGAATCTGGTCAAAGTGCATGTGCCATGCTCAGTCCACGGATTTACTCCATTGTCTGTGTCACTTCATCTGGGACCTGGACCCACCACCCACAGGCCCCACTGCTCAGCCACTCTGCTCAGGGCAGCTGCTTCCTGTTCTCAGTGTTCCGTTCCATTCTTCACATCAGCCAGGACCCCTGAGAGCGTGGGTTTATGGGGATTATAACAATACCATGACCAGGTGCTGTCGAGTTGACCCCAACCACTGGCTGCCCCACATGTGCCGCAGTAGAACTGTGCTCTGTAGGGTCTTTGGTAGCCGATTTCTCAGAAGTAGGTCACCAGCCCTTTCTGCCTAGGCACCTATGGGTGGATGTGAGCCACCACCCCCTCGGTCAGCAGCCTGCACACCTGGCTGCAGATGCTTCCTGGGCCGCGCCGTCCATTCCTCCGAGCCTAATGCCCCCTCTGCCCTCACGTTGTGTCCGCAGCTTCTCGTGGTCTCAGACTTGTTCACCGAGCGCAGCCAGTTTGAGATGATGTATGCGACGCTGACGGAGCTGCGGAAGGTGCACCCTTCGGAGGATGAGATCCTCGTTCAGTACCTGGTGCCGGCCATGTGCAAAGCAGCCGCCGTCCTGGGCATGGTGAGCAGGAGGCAGCACGGGCCACGCTCAGCCCCCGAGCTGCTCTGGGCCCTGGCCTCAGGGTGGCCCCAGGCTTCGAAGGTCCTTCCTGAGGTTCCACAGCCCACGTGAGCCAGTGGGACCAGGGGCTTGGCGGAGTCTGTCAGCTTCGCTTTTCCATCGTGTGCGTGAAGGAGCCTGCTGAGGGAGGGCCAGGTGTGGGGCTTCCGGGCCCTGCCTGTTTTCATGGCTGCAGTACCTGTGAGAGTGGATGAGAACAGGACCGTCCCTTCTCCTTCCTCCACCACGGCCTGCCCCAGGCCTGCCTTCCTCAGCACACCCCCGCCCCATGTGTCTCTGCCACCAGAGTTCCTCCTGGGAGTGACTGTACCTCCAGTCCCGCGGGAGCCTGTAGTCACCTCTCAGTGTGAGGCTCAGCAGCTGTCTGTGCAGAGTTCCCCCTCCCTCTGCCGCTTGTCGTTCCGTGTGGACTCAAAGCAGCCCCACGTACAACAGAACAAGACACTGCCCGGCCCAGAGCCGTCCCCACAGTCACCGCCATGTCTGACCCACGGTTGCAGTCACTGTGTCAGTCCATCTCATGGGGGGTCTTCATCTTTTGTGCTGACCCTCTGCTTCACCAGGCATGATGTCCTCCTCCAAAGACTGGGCCCATTCTGCCTCTCGCTTGTCTGAATTCAGCCGGGTAGCACCTGACCCCTCTGGTACTCTCGGAACACCAGAGTTAGTATTCTGTTAGCGTGCACTCCTGTATGCCTGAGAGACACTTAGGTATGGGTCCCGCTTAGTAAAACCACATGGAGGAATCTCGGAACTGTAGCTTGACTCCAGACATTCCCTGGCTTCCGCCTGGCTGGGTAGCGTCAGCCCATCCACGGGATGTTCCCCACTCTGAAGGCTCGTGGGGTTCCTTTCACGAGAGCGCTGTAAGCTCACTTACCGCACGCCCTGCATGGAACGTTGTAAGCTCACTTACCACACGCACTGCATAGCTCCCAGGGTAGGCATTGGGTCATCAGTGAGGGGCAGGTGTCTGCCGGGAGCCCCTCATCTTCTGAGTGGAGCAGGAGGCATCATGGCTTTTTTTTTTTTTTTTACTGTGATTTGGGTGAAAGTTTACAGAGCACATTGACTTTCCACATAGCAGCTCACATACACTCTATTTCATGACATTGACTGCAATTTCCCACAATACAACAGCTCCCCTCCCACCTCCTCCCCATGGTTACCTCTTCCCAGTGTCCTTCCCTCCATCTATCTATTCCTGCCCCCTGAGCTGTCTGCCTGTGCATGCACAGCACTTCTACTCTCCCATGATTATTCTCTCCAAGGAGTGTATCTGCCTAATGTAAATGTTCCGCTCATATGCCTGTTTGTTGTTTGGCTGGAAGTCAAAGGAGTGGGTCCAGTTCCAGACCTGAAGGGCAGCCAGGGGCCATAGACTCAGTGGATCCATCAGGCTCTGTCAGAGCAGCAAACCTGGTCCTTTTTTTTTTTCACTGATTTTGAGTTTTGTTCCACATTGTTCTCCCACTCTATCCGGGATCTCCTACACAGATCCAAGTGGTTGACAGTGGTAGCCGGGCACCATCTAGTTCTGGTCTCATAGTCATAATAGTCGTCTAGGCTGCACATTGCATTGTGTCCCAGTTGCTTATACTAATGGTTTCCATGTGTCTTTGGTTTTCTTCATTCTTCTTTGCTCTGGACGAGGAGAGACCCATTGTTGCATCTAGCTGGCCACTGGCAAGCTTTTAAGATCCCAGTTGCTACTCGCCCAAGTAGGACGTGGAACAATGTTTTGTATAGTATGTTATGCCAATTGAGCTTGATGTCCCCTGCGACTGTGGTCCCAAGCCCACAGGTTCAACTACTCGGTCCCTCAGGGTAGCTGGCTGTGGCCAAGCGGTGACTACACCTTGCCCCTTGTCGGCTCTACCGTACACCTGGGCACCCTCCCAGAACACACCTGTGCACTTGTAGAAACTGTCTGCATCGTGCCTCTTCTTGAGCTCTTGCTCCCACCTTCCCAGAGGACCCCCACAGCCCGACATCATCCTCCCATGTGACAGCGGGAAGCCCAGACACGGTGGCCTTGCTTGGTCTGTGACCCCAGAACCTTGACTTGCAGTGCCCCTTCCTGACTGTGTGGCATTTGTCCCCACTGAGCCACCATGTCCAGGCAGGAGTTGTCCCCCACAGTGGGGGTTGTCTCAGGCCTGAAGCCCGGAGAGTGAGGTGGTAGAGGCCCTGGGGGAGCAGCAGCGGTGCCCATGCTGGCCTTCCTTGTGTGAACTCTGGCTCTTCAAAGTGTTCCCCTGGGGGATTTAAGCTCTGTGAAAGCAGCCGGACAGAGGGGTCCTTTCATCTGTGTGGGGGTTCGGCTGTGGGGCGAACTGTAACTGTTTCGGGGCCCAGGCCCAGGCCCCCTCAGGCCGGTGTGGTGGTCTGAGTCACATCAGCAGCACTGAGGCGGGGAAAGGCCCCGAGGCGAGGCGGTGCTGCCAGCGCTGGAACTGGAGAGTGGGCGTGGGTGGGGGCGGCTCCCGAGACAGAGTGTCCGCAGGAGGGGGCCAGGGAGCCCGTGGGGACACGGCCCGGCGGCCAGGCCGCCTGGTGCTGCCTCTGAGGGGCTGATCCGATGAGGGCCGGCCGCCGGTCCTGCGCTCACTCGCTCTGGGCAGGTTGGGGTGATGTGCAGGGCTGACAGCCACCGCTGGCCTCGGGCCCTATGTGTTCTGTGAGATGCTTCTGTCTTCACGGATAGAGAGTGAGTCTCGGCTGATGAAACGTGTTACTGAAGGGTTAGATTTTTACTCCGTTGTGGTGAAGATACAGAGTGAACCAGGGGCTCCCTTGGCGTCAGTTGGTAACTGGTTGTGTCTGGGTCCCCGAGACCTGTGCCAGGCTCAGTGATTCCCGGGGAGGCCTGCTGGGACTCCACGCACAGCTGCACAGACGGCTAAGAGTCATTCCAGCGAGAGGACACAGGGCGGCGTGAGCGTGGGGAGCAGGCGTGTGGGGCGAGGTCTAAGGAAGCCAGGTGCGAGCTGCCAGGGTCTGTCCCCGGACACACACTATCCCCTAGCAGCAAGTGGAACAGCACGTGTGAGGCGCTGTTCCCCAGGGAAGCCCGTCAGAGACCCAGCACCCGGTGTTTCCACTAGGGCTGGTCAGACAGGCTTCTCCACCTGACACGTAGCGGGAGTCCAGACTCCCTGAAGGAGACCGAGTAGCGTTCCTTCAGCATAAACCTCATTGTTTGCACAAGTTAGGCACAGTGGAGACCTTCCCCAAATCCCTGCTCCCCACCGCCCGCCTAGGGCCCACCTCACAAGCAGCCCGCCTCAGACTGGCAGCCGGGTGGGCAGAGGGTGCCGTGCGGTGTGGGGCAGGCCTCCGTGTGTGCCCGTGCAGGACAAGGCCGTGGCCGAGCCCGTCGGCCGCCTGCTGGAGAGCGCGCTCCGGAGCGGCCACCTGCCCAGCCGCGTGGGGGCCCTGCACGGTGTGCTCTACGTGCTTGAGTGTGACCTGCTGGACGACACCGCCAAGCAGCTCATCCCTGTCGTCAGCGACTACCTGCTCTCCAACCTCAAGTCGGTCGCCCAGTGAGTGCACCCAGGCCCAGCAGCCCCGGGTCCCTGCAGCTGTCTCCGGGTACAGCCTCCAGGAGGCACCAGAACACAGCCCGTCCTGTGGCTCTTACCCCCACACGTATCCCGTGCACACTCGTGTGTGTGCCCCCAGGCCCACAGTGACGGTGCCCGGGGCTCTGCCCAACACGTTCTGCTCTAGCCCAAGCACAGCCTCCCCTGAAGGCTCCTGAGTCGGCAGCCCCGGGCTCCCACTCCACTGTCCATCTCGTGCAGCTTTATTGTTACGCCTTCTGCACCGGTTTACAGACACCTCCTGTAAGGTGCAGCTGACGCCAACCCCTTAGAGAAGGGCTCTTGCTACAGCTGTGGCTGTTCAAGCTCAGGGCAGCGTCACGGGGCTGCACGTCCCGTCGGCTGTCCCAGAGGGACAGGTCTAAGCTGAGGTTCCAGATGCCTGCCGAGCAGAGGGAGCCAGCCTCAGGGGAGGGTAGATCCTCATTGGTGGGGTGAGAAGGGGCGTGGTGAGACTCGAGTGGGGGAGGAGGTCAACTTCCTGGCTGACAAGCGGGTGGGGCAGAGGGAAGAGTTCAGTGGCAGGTTTGGGATGAGCCCACAGAGGTCACTGGTGTGGTCTCTGCCAGGAGGTGTGGGGGAGGCTTCAGGAGAGGACCGTGTGAGCAGAGGTACGTTTCACGGCACCGATGCCTGGGACCTAGTAAAGGCTGCTGGCCTGGTGCAGGCCAGAGAAGTAAGCACCATCCCCGATGCCTCCTCACAGGGGTAGTGAGCGCTGTACCTGATGGCCACCTCGGGGAGCGTCAGCCAACGTCTGGGGTCCCTCCATGCTCCTTGAGCCAGGCCCAGAAGAGCCCTGCTGAGTGCACTGATGGGCTCCTGTGGCCTGTCTCAGGACACATACTGAGAGTCATGGGTGTTGGTTTGGCACTTGCCTCTGTATGGTCCCTGGAGTGGGAATAGTAGGTACAGGAAAGGGCGAGGCCATGGGGTACCCCTAAGTGCAGGAGGTGTTAGGACAGGGTGAGGGCACAAGGCCCAGAAGAGCTGTTCATCAGTAGATGTGCCCCGGTCACATGGGTCCGAGGCCCGGAACACACGGGGAGTCCTGGGGCCCCAGTGTTCCACGAGAGAGGTGTGCACACCTGGCCGTGGGCGTGTGCTGCGCCTGGAGCTGCCTGCCGCGCGCGGCTGAGCTCCCGTCGTCTGCGTTCCAGCTGCGTGAACGTCCACAGCCAGCAGCACGTCCTGCTCATGTGTGCCACCGCCTTCTACCTGATGGAGAACTACCCGCTGGACGTGGGGCTCGAGTTTTCTGCCTCCATCATCCAGGTGAGCATGGCCCGCCCTGGGCAGCATGCCGGTCTCCACATCTTTCCTCTATCCTTGTCCCGATGGAGTCATTATATCGGGCGCAGATGGAAGATGTGTGGATGTGTGTCCTCTCTCCTGTCAGATGTGTGGCGTGGTGCTGTCGGGCACCGAGGAGTCCACCCCGTCCGCCGTGTTCCACTGCGTCCTGCGGGGCCTGGAGCGCCTCCTCCTCTCGGAGCAGCTCTCGCGGCTGGACGCCGAGTCCTTGGTCAAGCTGAGTGTTGACCGTGTCAATGTGCACAGCCCGCACCGCGCCATGGCCGCCCTGGGCCTTATGCTCACCTGCATGTACACAGGTGCGCAGCCCGGGGCCCCAGGCCTGTCCTGCAGACAGTGGGCCCGCCCACGCTCACCGCCAGCCGCTCATGGGCCTAGAGCCACACGTGACCCCAGCTGGCACAGCTTCAGCCACTTTATGGGGGGAAGAGATCTAGAAGCCTCGAGTGAGGGGGGAGACCGTGCTCAGGGTGGAGGCCCTGCTCAGGGTCAGGAGCCAGAGGAGACAGCTCTGGACGGCAGCCACGGCCCCGCCGCCCAGCTGAGCCAGGGCCCAGGCCGGCCCGTCGGATCCTGTGTATCCAGCACAATGTACGGGCCTGTTCGCTGTCACAGAGTAGGTGACCTCGGGTTGGGTGGCTGTGTTCCAGGGAAGGAGAAAATCAGTCCGGGGAGGACGACAGACCCCAACCCCGCCACCCCGGACAGCGAGTCGGTGATTGTCGCGATGGAGCGGGTGTCCGTCCTCTTCGACAGGTAAGACACGACGCTGCCCCTCGGTCACTGCCTTTGAGCCCTGGGTACCTGCCTCCTCGCCGTTGTCTCCCAGGGCACTGTGTCCGAGGCCCCGAGGCTCCCTGCTCAAAGCTCCTCACTCGGGGCTCCCCCATTCGGGGTTCCCCACTTGGAGCCCCCATCTCAGGTCCCCCCACTGATGCCTCCCTGCTCGGGGCTCCCTGGAGCTGGTAGCCCTGGCATGGGGTTTATTGCCTCTCTGACCATCTGAAGTGCCCATCGTCTTTGGTGACCGGTCAGGATGTCAAATGGTGAAGGCGTGAGGGATGCTTGCTGGGCTGGCACGGGCCCAGATCAGGGAGAGTGGTGTCGAGAAAACCTCTGGTGGAGGGGTCCTCCGGTACCTGCCACGTGCTGCTGACAGGTGGAGTGGGCACGTAGGCAGGGAGGCCCTGGCACACCAGGAATTGGCGAAGCCCAGTTTCTGGGCCACTTACACTGCTATGTTACCACGGTGCTCATGACGGTAGAACCGCACAGGACAGCTGCTGACAGCTCCAAGGATGCTCTCTCCGCAGCCAGTTTCACAGGCTGTGCAGGGTGGGGGTCTCCATGCGTGCACGGGGGGTCCAGGTCAAAGAGGCGGGGAAGCCAACTGGACGGGCTCCGGGCGGGAGAGCTCCCGGTGCTAGGAGGGGCCGACTGGACCCGGGGTTGGGGGGCTCTGGGCATCAGAGCTTGCTTTGTTGGGAAGTCCTGGAGCTGCAGAGGGAAGAAATAGACGAAACGAGGTGGAGGCGCCGTTAGGGACTTCCAGCCTCGCCTACCTTGTCGCCACCCAGCGTGCTGCCGGGATCATACGGGACGTGGCAGCCCTTTCTGGGTCACAGGACTCACCCCAGTCCTCAGCTGAGTCACCAGCCGGGGGGCAGGGTTCTGCTCCGTGGGGGGGGCGCTGCTGGGGGTCTCGTGAGGCCCGACCACCTCCTCTTCCTTCAGGATCCGCAAGGGGCTTCCCTGTGAAGCCCGGGTGGTGGCCCGGATCCTCCCACAGTTCCTGGATGACTTCTTCCCAGCCCAGGACGTCATGAACAAGGTCATTGGGGAATTCCTGTCCAACCAACAGCCATACCCCCAGTTTATGGCCACCGTTGTGTACAAGGTGATAAGCGCCACCGTGTGCCGGGGTGGGGAGGGGCAGAGGGTAGGCCCGAGGTAGACTCCAGCCTGGCCTTGTCAAACCGGTTCCACCTCACGATCTGAGAGTTGCTGTCTGCACGGAGCTGCCCACACGACTGGACTCCTCTCCCTGCAGACCGCAGTCACAGCCCTGCCCGCCGCCCCTGTGCACTCACCCTGGGTCCCCTGCACTCCCATCCTGTGGCTCCCATGTTCCCACCACGTCCCCCGTGCACCCAGCCCACGGCCCTCGCTGCCCATGCTCCCTCCGTCCCCGCCCCCACAGCCCTGGCCTCCGCTCTCTTCCAGGTGTTCCAGACGCTGCACAGCGCGGGGCAGTCGTCCACGGTCCGGGACTGGGTGATGCTCTCTCTCTCCAACTTCACGCAGCGCACGCCAGCGGCCATGGCCGTGTGGAGCCTCTCCTGCTTCTTCATCAGCGCCTCCACCAGCCCCTGGGTGTCGGCGATGTATCCTTCCTGAGCCGGGCCCTGCCTGCTGCTCACCTCCAGCTTGTCCCGTCAGCGTGACACCCTCACGGTTCTAGTTAACGGTGTCGGGTGCATTTGCCCAGCCCAGGAGGCCACGTGCTCACGAAGATGCCACAAGGTGGCAGCCGCTCACCCCGGCGCTCACCCCAGGAACAACCCCAGGGGTTGACCATCCAAAGCCAGTGTGAGCAAGGGGCTGAGCTGTGAGTCCTGGGGGGCCCACTTACTCCCCTGGGAGCAGAGCTGGGGCGGCGAGTCCCCCAGACATCACCTGGCCCCAGTCCGTCCACAGCAGCAGAGGTACCAGTGGCACTGCTTCTCACTGTTCTGACATGGGGCCTGAGCCATCTCCTCGGGCGCAAATCTTAAGTCAGACCCAGTTCCCACCCCTGAAGTGCTGCTTTTGCCAGCAGGCCCCCGTTGGCAGCCTTCCCCAGACAGACCACAAGAGCCTTAAAGTGGGCAGCCGTCCCGGTGCTGGCAGGGCCTTGCCGAGCGCGCGGGGCCTGGGCGGGGGGGCACTGGCTCACTGGCCAGAGCAGAGAGGGGAGCACCAGCGTCTCGCTCACTGCCGGGACCCAGGCCGGGTAAGTGCGGGGGCTCCTTCCCTGGGCCCCGGCCCCCTGCTCTGCCCTACTGAGCCCGGGCTGCCTGCCGGAGGGCCAGGGCCTCTGGAGAGGGCTGGACGGCAGCTGCTGGCGAGGGACTATCCGCCCGCTGCCAGCTCAGGTGTTGGGAGCGCCAGGGCGGGCGGCGGGCGCGCTGACAGGACAGGCCCGTGCTGCCCGGCTGCTCCTTAACCCCGCGCAGTCTCCCGCACGTCGCCAGCAGGATGGGCAGGCTGGAGCTGGTGGACGTGAACCTGTTCTGCCTCGTCGCCACGGACTTCTACCGCCACCAGATCGAGGGGGAGCTTGACCGCAGGGCCTTCCAGTCTGTGTTTGAGGCGGTGGCGGCCCCGGGAAGCCCCTACCACCGGCTGCTGACGTGCTTGAGAAACGTCCACCAGGGCGCTGCGGGCTGAGGCCGGCAGGCGGGCCGTGAGGAGGGCGGCGGGCACTCTGCCGGCACCAGGGTCGGGCGGCCGCCGCGTCCCCTGCCCCGCGGCAGAAATGCCCCCTGACAGTGAGGGGCCCGTGCAAGGACCGTCGTGGAACCGTCGGGGTCGAGCCTGGGCCCTCCCGGGAGCCGGGGCAGCCGTCCCGCACCCTCCGAGCTGCAGCGTCAAGTGCTGGCACTGGCTGTCTCTCCTCGCGTCGGCCGCTGGGGGCCGGGCCAGGCCGCTCCCAGGCCCGGACACGAGGCCCTGCTGCAGGCAGCCCCTCGCCCGCCAGCTGTCCCCTGGGTGGGAGTTGGTGGCACCACACTCTGGAGGGGCCGCCCCAGCAGAATGCAGGCGGCCGGGGTCTCTGGACTCATGCACTTGGGGGGGGCACGCACCCAGCACCATCCCCCCTCTCTCTTCTTCTCAGGATTTGAAATTTATTCCTATCAGTAAAGAGACGAATTTTAATGTAACTATTTCTATAGCCACCTAAGCTGTGTAACTCGGGGGCCTGGGCCGCATGGGGCAGTCAGAGCCGCTGCCTCGCCCCCCACGGCTGCCGGGCCCCTCCTCTCACGTCACCCCGAGCATGCCTGGTGGCGGTGGCGTGTCTGCGGCCTGCACCTTGCACCCCTCTCCTTTTTATGCATCCATGCCCCTTATGTTTACAGTCGTTAAGTGATTGCACCTCCACCTATGAGAACACCATATCACCCAAAAGGTCAGAGAGGGACAGTGCCCCTGAGCTGGTCCCCCACCCTGACAGCTGCCCTGTCCTGTGCCCACAGCCCCTGGGAGGTGTCCTCCACGCCGTCCCAAGCAGCACTCGGGCATCACTGCCTGCCCGTCCCTCCCGTACAGTGGTGCCCGCCACGCCTGCCTGGGACAAGCAAGCCACATTCTCTTGAGCTCCTCCTGGTCAGGAACAAACTGGGGGCCTGGACAGCAATGATGAGCAGACCCCTAGGCCCCTTTCCCTCATCACCCTGGGGAGCCCACCCCTGCGGTCGAGCGGGCAGAGTGAGGGCTGGCTCCTGCCCATAGTGGGCTCTGCTGGCTGGCCGGCCTCCGGGCTGTGGTGGCCTGCGGTTCACTCCGTGGTCCCCAGGCCGCTGGGCCTGCTCGGCGGTACAGGCACAGCCACCACTGGGCGTTAGGTGTGGTGAGCAGAGGTCACGGTGCAGCTGTTCTCTGGAGTCGGGAAAGGAAACGGGCTGCACTGCACCTCCGCAGCCATGAAGCTTCCGTACCGGGGAGGCTACGGAGCCCAGGCTGAGTGCCCCGGGAGTCCCCGTGCTGACCGGCGGCGTCCACTTCCTCTGGCCCTTCCCTGAAGAGGTGGAGTAAGGCCGGGCCGGCCGCCGTAGTGCGATGAGGGGCCGCCTCCTGGCTGCGGGCAGCCCCAGGCCATACCGGCTGTGGTGCGGGCAGTGCCAGTGGTAGAAGGCCGGGTGCTTGAGTGACCTCCGTATAGCACAAGCCGAGAAGCCAGCAGAGCAGCCTTCTGTCCTCTCGCCTTTGCCAGTGGGGCCTGTAGCGTGTCGTGAGGCTTGGAGACGGGGCAGTCCCCCCACGCTCTGTGGGCCCTGGCACCAGTGCCCATCAGAATCGGTACCGTGCCAAGGCCCTGGCAGCAGGCTGTGGTGAAGCACCATCCCAGAGACCCACGTGGCTGTTCCCGGGGTGAGCACGAGGGCGGGTTTATAGACAGGCCTCCCCCGCAAAGGGTGTGTGTGCGTGCACGCATACACGCTTACCACGGACGTGCATGAGCGTGTGTCTGCATGTGCGTCTGCCAAGTGTTTCAAGGCACAGACGCGAGGCTGACCCCGGCGCCCTCGCCAGCTCCCGCGGGATCTGGCTTCCTAGCGCTAGAGCCGCCTGGGCGGTGTGCTGCCCGGCCGGACGTGTGAGGGTGGCGCTGGGCAGCGTGGCTCGCTGGCCTCCCGCGGGAGGAGAAGGCGCTCCTTGTCAGCCCCGTGCTCGGGGGTGAAGGCGACTCCTGAGAGCAGAGCCAGGCCACCCACGTTATCGAACACGACGCGCGTTTGCTCACTGCGAGCTTTCCGTTTCTTGCTGGTTGGGTCGGGAAGGAGTCGGGGAGCCAGGGTGGAGCCTGGCCGGGTGCCACCGGGAGCTTCTCAGCGGCCATGCCTCCCGCTCCCCTCTGGGCCGCAAACAGCTGAGAACGTAGCACCAGGTGGAGGTCACCCTGAGAGACCCCGTGACCACACTCATCCCGCCTTTCCCGACGGGGTCACGTCCCTGGAGGAGTTGGGGGGTGCGCATGGCTGCAGAGCAGTGCAGCTCGGGACACAGATCGCTGGAGGGGTCGGACTGGGTTTGGCTCTGGTTTCTTGTTGGGGTGGAGTTAGGGTCCCGGTGACGTGACCCCTGTGAGAACACTTCCTGCGGTTTTCTGCTTTGGAGTTCGCCCCCACCCCCCACCGGCCTGCACTGCCCCTTGTCTCAGGGTGCAGGGAGCATGGGTGAAGGAGGCTTGAGGACGCCCCGTGGCCACAGCGGGCGCCCAGCAGGTCTGGCCACACTTCGCTGTGGGCCTGTCCATTCTCGGGCGGTCCGAGCAGCCCGTCTAGAGCCGGTGTGGCAGCGCCATCTGAGATGGGCGGGGTCGGCCGGGCCTTCCTGCAGGGGCTTTGTCCCCATGGGGCTTCTCGTCCACTGTTGTCAGAGGGCACGTGGGTGTTGGCAGCGGGTCGTCCTCACGCCCCGGGGCCTCCACCCTGGGGACGTGGGGCTGTGATGGGCGGGCCGGAGCCCCAGCCCTCATCCGGCCGTCTGTTCCACAGAGCAGAGAGGACGGACGTGAGGTTCACTTTGGACTCTTTTTCTAAAGCTGCAAGCTCTGTACGTCCAAAAATAAACCCTGCATTGTCGCTGTACGAGGCTGGCTGTGTCACTGGGACTGGGCTCCACACCAGGCCCTCGTCCCTTGTGAGGGCAGGCCTCGGCACCACACCAGTCACCGTCAAGGGGCCTTGGCTGGAGGCCCGGGCCCCCAGGCAGTGCCGAGCAGGTAGAGTGCCGTGCTGTGGGCTCCCCACCAGGCGCTCGTGGGTGGTCTCTGCCCAGCAGACACGGTGGCCGGAGCTGTGATGGCTAGACGGAATTGTTGTTCGATTACCCAGAGGCCTTAGGGTTCCAGCTTCGTTTCTGTTTCCAGATGTGGCCTGGGGCGCTGGTGGAGTGGTCACGGGGGGCACAAGGAGCAGAGCTCTGCCCTCACACGGGGTGTGCCCCAGCTGCCCCGAGGACTGCTCACCCACCTGGGCCTGCCTGCCTGCCTGCCTGCCGTGGGCCCACAGGCCCCCTGCCCGTGCCAGCCTGTGAAATCCTTTCCCGCTGCAGCCCTAACTCACTCACGAAGGGCGCCCCTTGTGGGCCTGGCAGGGGGCCTGTGGCGTCTGTGACAGCAGCCCCTCTTCCTGGGGCAGGGCCCCAGCCACTGAGTGTGGGCAGAATTTAGTGATGCCGATACCACATTGGATTCCCATGCATTGGGGTGGGGGAGGGGGTCATCCATTTGTTACTTCCCACACCTGCAGACAGGAGCCCCCGCGGTAATCGGGATGGGGAGTGTGGGCTGCCCTCGGGCAGCTCTCGGTTTAGGGGTGGCCCTACAGGAGGCAGCCAAGCTCTGTCACCGCCGGGCCGCACGGCACCCATGCCAGCTGCTGTCTGCACAGGGTGGTGACGGTGGTCCCAGTGGGCGGGGTGGGTGGATGCCAGGACCTGGACGCGGTGAGAAACGCTGCTCAGAGAGCTTGTCACACAAGGGGAGCCGCAGGGGACTCGGCCTGGGGACACGGCCCTGCTCGGTGCTCTGCTTGAACGTCATTTCGCCCTCCGGGCCGATCTCACAGCCTGTCCTCCCTGGTCTAAGCATGGGGCCGGGCCCTCTGCACACCTGGCCACGCTGGGCCCAGGGCGAGAGGCTGGGAGGGGCACCGAGCCACCTCTGAGGCCTGTCTCCTGCTGCCCTGCGTCCCTGGCCCCACACCAGAGGCATCCTCAGAGAGGGGACCCAGCGTGGCCTCCACCCTTTGCCCCACCCGCAGGGGCTCTGGGAACGGCCCAGCCAGTGCTGGCACCCTGTCCCCTCCTGGGGCTCCGGGCTCTGGGCCTTCACTCATGTTGGCTTCTGGCTAAAACCTACTTTCTTCCAGAAAGTCAGTGCCAGGCTTTTCAGCATTAGGAGTAACTCAGATGGAGGGAGCCGCCAGGGCGAGCTGAGGAAGGGCCTGTGACGTGTGGGGGGTGAGTGTGAGGTATAGGGGTGCCACCTGGGTGCGGAGGTGGTGTGAGGTGTGGGTATAAGGTGTGTGAGTATGAGTTGGGGTGGTGTAGGGGGGTGCCTTGTGAGTGTGTAGGTGGTGTGAGGCGTGACTGGTGTGAGGGGTGGAGATGGTGTGTATGTGTGACGTGTGGGTATAAGGTGTGAGTTGTGTGTGTACGGGGGTGCCTCGTGAGTGAAGGTGGTGTGAGGCGTGACTGG